TATTTCGTAAACTTCTTTTGTTTATAACTTCTTAATGAGTAACGTCCTGCAATTAAAACTTCCTCAGGGTCACTCGGGGTCATGACCTTGACAACATATATCAAGGTCAAGGTCATTGGGGGTGGCTCCCCTAATCTACATATTTACCCAAATTTCTACATTATACGTTTCGGCCAATATCTGGCCATCTTCAGTAATTAAAACTCTACTCTAAATATCGGTTACATACAAAATTCGCAATCTTACATCTATTCGACCAGATGGAATATCATCGTGAAACGTATAGATAAAGTGTCTCTCACTTTATCTATACGTTTCACGATGATATTCCATCTGGTCGTCAAAGTTCTTACGAGTTTACAAATATCTAGGAATTGCGGAAATAACAGAATCTGGAAATTCTTGTTACTCACAACTCTAAACAATTCCACAAATTTGTCAACTACGAAAGTAGATTACCAAGAATTATGCGGATAAGAACATGTAATTTTGAATAAATAGATGTAAGATTGCGAATTTTGTACGTAACCGATATAATTAATACTCTACTCTAAATATTTAGAGTAGAGTTTTAATTACTGAAGATGGCCAGATATATTGGCCGAAACGTATAATGTAGAAATTTGATTATATTAAATACCACAAAAAACAACTAACGCTGTGGTTTTATGCTCTTTTTCTTAACTACTACTAATTTTTGATTATAAACCACTTCTTCCTTTTTAAATTAATTTGTTTGTACTAAATCTAGAAATAAGTTATATATATGTTGGAATTTTTTCAATACGTTACAAATTGTGCAATATATTTATATTTTAATACTTTAATACTGGATTTACATAAATAATTAATGGTTTATTATTTTTGCTATTGCAATATTTTTCAGAAATGGACTATATTTATCGTAAATAATATGCGTGATATAGTCACATGGTTTAGTCTGGAATGTGCATGTAATTATTTTTATATAACATACAAACATCTTTCTTGCAGACAAATATCTAGATACTAAGAATAATGGGCAAGCTGAATCAACGCATTTATAGATCATCACTGGGCCTTCCCTGATAATATGCTGTATATCTGGTACATAATTTATTTTCATGATTTTGTTATTCTTTTTTTTGTAACTTGATTTTGGTAATCAATTTAATCTGGCTTTATATAAATGGTTATAATTTTCTATTTTATAATAGTTAATTTTGTGTATATACAGGGTGTCTTACCGTACAGTACATTTCACAGCATATTCTAGAGATAAAATAAAGTAAAAATCCTAATATGAAAATGTTGAGGCTACAATAATTTTTTGAATTATAAGCTAACTTTAACTGCTTATAAGTCAAGAACTATTTTACTTTTATAGTTCCTATTATTATAGCTGGATTTTTTGGGATTCTAAGACGAAAATCCTAATACGAAAATATCGAGGCTAAGTTTTTTAATTACAAACTATCTTTGATTAATTATAATTCAAAACTATTGTAGCTTTGACATTTTTGTATTTTTTACTTTTAGAACATGTTATAAGAGTATTGTATGGTGGTTGTGAGACACCCTGTATATATTTATAGTTAAACTGTTAAACTATGTGTTAAGAAAAACACGTATTGACATATATTTCAAAAAAGATATGTCACGTATTTATTAAATTATTTATTTTATAAAGATATGGGGTCAATATACAG